AATCGGTTATGTCTAGAGTATTAATCAAAGGAAGTCCCGTCGGGTTGGTGTAAGTCATTGATTATCCCCATATACAAGAAGGGAGACAAGTCTTCTTGTGATAATCACAGTGGGATTAGCTTGACTAATATGATATCTAAAGTTCTAGGCCCCATAATAATGCGTAGACTAAGTGGTACTTGGGAGGCACAAACAGGAGGAGCCAGGCAGGCTTTAGACCAGGTAGAGGGTGTATTGATCATATATTCACCCTTCAACAGATTCTAGAACATAGGCATTCCTACCGGCGTCCAACAGTCATTATATTTCTTGACCTAAAGGCGGCATTCGACTCTGTCGACCGAGAGGTACTCTGGCAATGTTTATCTCTAAAAGGAATTCCGAGAAAATAAATTGCACTGATCAAGGCACTCACTCTACTCGAACTCATGCAGTCAACCAGGTGGTAGCTTACGGCGAGTTGTCATTTGAACTGGTGACAACTAGAGATGTCCGGCAGGGATGCCCATTATCCCCATTTCCATTCAATTTCATCATAGATTTACTAATGGTCTAAACCCTAATTCATTTCAGAGACGCTGGGATTGACTTGTTACCGGGGAATAATCTCGTTGACTTAGAATATGCAGATGATATAGTCCTTGTAGGTGAAGACCCTTACAAAATGCAGAGTCTTTTGAACGCCTTGAGGAGCATCAGTCTTCCAATATTTGACATACGACTCACTCCCGCCAAATTTAAGATGATGCTACAGGGCTGGACTAAACTGACTCGCGGCTTAGAAATAGGGAGTGAAGTGGTTGGTGTAGCGTGTTGACCACTTCACTTATTTGGAAAGTTGCATCAGCCAATGCCGACGGGTTTATCGCTAACGAAATCTCAGCACGGATACAGAAGGCTAGTTTCGCATATGCCAGTTTACGCCGTCTTTGGCGTAGACGTGATATCCAGCTGGTTGTCAACCAGAGGGCATGTGTACTGCATGACAGTCCGCTCCGTCCTCCTTTATCGATAGCTATGGGACCTGGCCATTCAGGGTGGAGGAAATGAAAAGGCCAGCTATCTGCCTTTGATCATAGGTGCCTGTGTTCTGTCTCCTGTGTGAAGTGGTATAACAAGGTGAGCAATATTGAGGTTAGGCATAAGTCGAGTGCTAGGTGGTTGGGAGGGGAAATCAATAAACGAGGCTGTGAAGTTGCACCGATTGAGATGGTAAGGACATGTGTTACGTATACTTATCTTAGCCATCGCCTTCCTGTTAGCTGACATATGATTAGGTTGGAAAAGGGAAAGCTAGTGCTGGTCAAACCAAGACCTGGCATCAGTCAATGAAATCCACAACAGTTAGTTTAAGCCAGCCAAGTAAGGAGGTGTAGACTTCCTGAGTGACTAGTTAGGGTCGTCGAGACGATAAAAGTCAATGGCATTACTATCCTTTTTGTCTTACATCTCTGTTTATAATCTCTCTTTTGCATTCTATTTTACATTTTTATCTGGCTTTGTGTGCTGAGTGAAGAAGTGTGTGGCGACTAGAACTGCCACACATCTGTACAAAGTTCTGTGTTGAAACCAGTCTGTCAGTAGGCCAGTGCGAAGTGTTAGGGGTTATGAGGGGAGGTTGTCTGATGAGATTGTTTAGGGTACATCGATTAAAATAGGTAAAACCATAAGTTAGTGAATTCCAAGTCATTGCCTTCCCCTCTGAGCAATTGTTGTCTCACCAGTTCATAATCTAAGCTAAAACCCAAATTCTCTTCTAAACTAAATATTTTCTTTTTTCAGTGGAGAGACTCTTTTCAACGAATTTTTTATGAAGCTGTATAATCGTATATATATATATATGGATTTTTTTAAGAAATTATATCCGGTGAGGGAATTAGGTCAAAGGTGTGAATACACGAAATAATAATAGAAGTATGAAATGCAATTGAAATATTTGTGATTATAACCATAGTTTAATGTCAAGTGGCAAAATAATTAATGTCATATGTAGAATAATACATAAGGTGTATAGATTTTGGAGAGAGGTATGATAGAGAAGATTTGTAGCTCAGGTGGAAGATTTTGATGTGGTTATGTTCTCTGAGCTGGATGGTTAATTTGCGAAGCTTTCATCACCCTACTGGGTGACATCTTCAGCGCGTACTTCAATTTGAAGTGAGCTTTTAGATTTCTCCACGAGTTTATTAATCATCCCTCCTGGTGACCTTGGACGTGAATGGTTGTTTCTGTATGTTTTCACACCTTCTAGGTTACCTGTATTGGAACTGATTGTTTCTTAGTTATAGAAAGAATCTCAATTACTCAACCCAAGATTTGGATATGCTACGTCGACGACACATTTGTAATAATCAAAGAAACGAGTTAGATAAAACTCACAACTTAATAAACAACGTCTTCAACGACATCAAATTCGCAAGAGAAGAGGAATCCGAGAACAAAATACCATTTTGGACGTCTTAGTCAGGCGAACAACCGCAGGAGAATTAGAAACTCAAGTTTTTAGGAAATCAACTCACACAGACTAAATCCTGAATTACAACCCAATAACACACAAAAGGAATTGCATACAAACTCTATTCAAGAGGGCCATCCAGGACTCATTGCATCACTCCCACCTTAAGGAAAATTGAAGAAAAGTACCTCATGGACGCCTTCCAAAAGAATGGATATCCACGAAATTTCATCAAAAGACATATACTCCCAAGTCAACCTATCAAAGCAAAAGCCACCAAAGAAAGCACAAAGAAAATCGCCTTACTATATATATCTGAGAAATCACTACGAGACTCTTCAAACCTTTAGGAATTGACGTCGCACACAAACCAACAAAGTCGCTTCACTCAATTCTATGTCACCCAAAAGACTCAATAACGAAAGAAGATAAAACCAACATCATCTACAAAATAGATTGTAACAACTGCGAAAAACATTACATTGGCCAAAGTGGACGTACCCCCTTCGTCTTCGTATCCACGATCATAAGCTAGCCGTCAAAAGACACGATATACACTCCCTCATTTCACTACACACAGACAACCACGGACATCAATTCGACTGGGACAACGTTGAAATATTAGACAGAGGAAACAACAAGAATGCTAGAGAATTTTTAGAAGCCTGTCTGGCATTCCAGTGAATCATCAATCAATAGACACATAGAGATAGACAAAATTTATCAACCGATAAGAAAGAAACCTCACACACAAAGGGTCAAAGTTCAAGTCAAAGAAACAATCAGTTCCAATACAAGTAGCCTAGAAGGTGTGAAAACATACAGAAACAACCAATCACGTCCAAGGTCACCAGGAGGGATGATTAATAAACTCGTGGAGAAATCTAAAAGCTCACTTCAAATTGAAGTATGCGCTGAAGATGTCACCCAGTAGGGTGATGAAAGCTTCGCAAATTAACCATCCAGCTCAGAGAACACAACCACATCAAAATTTTGGAGAGAGGTGTATAATTATAAGATTAGTAGAGGAATATAAAATGTTACGTAACATGGTGTGAAATTTGATAAGATAGAATTCAATATTGTACACATAAAAAGTATACAAATGAATAATTTTGGGTTTAAAATGTCAAGTGGGTCAAGTGGAAAAGATTCAGAGTGAGAATAGTAATAATAATAATCGCACTGATAATGGAAAGGTACATAGAACAACTAAATAAACAAAATAAATAAATATCTATCCCTCTACGGCCAAGGCAGAAGTAGGGCTTGTACATACTTCTTTTGGTACACAAAGGTCTGGCTTAAAGTCATGAATGAATAGCCAAGGACTTCGCCGTCTTTAGAAGTCTGTAACGAAGAAAACGTGGCTGGCAAGTTAGCATGGATTCGGTAGATCAGGTGTTCCAGAATAGATCGACTCCTGTCACTCTGCCAACCCTGACCATGATTTTAAGAGCATCTACCGAATCCATGCTAACTTGCCAGCCGCGTATTCTTCGTTATAGACTGCTAAAGACAGCGAAGTCCTTGGCTATTCATTCATGACTTTAAGCCAGACCTTTGAGTACAAAAGAAGTATGTACAAGCCCTACTTCTGCCTTGGCCGTAGAGGGATAGACATTTGTTTATTTAGTTATTCTATGTACCTTTCCCTTATTACTACGATTATTATTATCATTATTATTATTACTATTCTCACTCTGAATCTTTTCCACTTGACCCACTTGTCATTTTAAACCCAAAATTATTCATTTGTATATTTTTTATTTTTACAATATTGAATTCTATTTTATCAAATTTCACAGCCTGTTACGTAACATTTTATATTCGTCTACTAGTCCTATAAGTATGTACCCCTTTCCAACATTTATACATGCATCTTATGTATTATTCTATATTTAAGATTAATTGTTTTGCTACTTGACATTTAACTATTACTATAATCACGAACATTTTGATTTTGATTGCCTTTCATACTACTACTATTATTATTGTTATTTCATGTAATAACACCTTTGTTCTAATTCCCTCATCGGTTATAATTTCTTAAAAACAAATCCTATATATATATATACGATTGTATAGCTTGACAATAAATTCGTTTTAACGAGTTGATCACGGATTGATATCAGTTAGAGAACCATTGAAAACCAGCACTGGAGTACTGGACAGGATGAAACAGCAGCTGTCCAGTGCTCCATTGCTGGTTTTCAATGCTTCTCTCTAACTGATATCACTCCATGATCAACTCATAAAAACAAAACTAACCCTTACAAACCAAACTATAGAAAATAAATTCGTTTTTGAAAAGAGTCTCTTCGCTGAATATTGTGTTCTTTATGCAACAATAGGAATTATCAAAGTATATCCTTTTTTTGACAATCACGCTTATATTTTTCACAAACAGATAAGTATTGCATTGAAGCACACAAACACATGACTTAATAATTAATGAGTTTTTCCCCCCATTGAACATTGAATCGGTGTTGTTTTGTTGTTTATTATCGTCTTGTTTTTTCTTTCTTTTCTTGTTCATTTCAAGGCTGAAATACAATTACACAATGCTATGATTGATGCAACAAAAAGTGCAAATAATCTAGAACGTTGTGTACTTGAATTTGAAGGTCGACGATTAAAAGGCCTTAAGGTAAGTACACACACACACATAGTTTTTGTTGTTGTGACTAATCGATTGATTCACTAATTTGTTTATTTATTTCAAGTTTGATTACGGATTGATATCAGTTAGAGAAGTATTAGAAACCAACAGGGAGTAGTGAACAGTTGTTTTGCTGTAGTTTGCGACTCATCAGCAGTACATACTTACAGGGTTCGAACCTTGAACCCCACGTTTCAAAGAAAAAAAACTCATAGACCATTCAGCCACTGGAGGCTGATTCTATGAAGCAACTTCTGCCAAAGTAATCGAATGCTTTGATTATATTAGATAGTTGAAGGCAATCAGCCATAGGAAGCATTTGACCAAGGTTTCGTGTTAGTTGGCACTCATCAGTCAGCAGAGGCATATCTGCAACCAGGTTGAAGGAACTCATATCCCTTCTGTGATTCGATCCCACGTCACCCAGTATTGCAGTCAGAGACGTGTACCGTGATGATGAGCCATCTAGTGACATGATGGCCACATTGCAAACCTGGCTGACTGATAGAATTCAGTCTGCACCAAGTACCAAGGACTAGATGTATCACAGTAGTTACCGACCAGTGTTCAATCAAAATAATTTAATGCTTGCTAGTGACCGGTTACAGGAGAAAGCTGCCTGTACTTGTAGTAAGAAGTCGTGACCTGTGGAGTACATTCGGTGAGGAGTGAGGATAAATACTCACTGAAAAAATCAGCTAGTGATTACTCTAAGTCAAGAATTGGTAGAAGTTGGAACTCGTAGGTCACTGAATCAGGTCCCAATAGATGAATGGTCTACGAGCTTGCCTTGTAACAAGAAGGTTCTGGGTTTCAACTCCGGAGGGTACGTACTGTTGATGATTCTCAAACTAGGACGAAACGACTGTTAAGTGTACTCTCTGGTTTCCAATAGTCCTCTAACTGATATCAATCCGCGATCAAACTCGTAAAAACAACTTTAATCTCCTTACAAACCAAATATTGAAAATTAATCTGATGCTCGCTAGTGGCGGAATTTCTTGCAAGTTCTAGTAAGAAGTTGTGACCGGTGAGATTCATCCACTCAAGTGTGAGGATGGATGTCTCATCGATGACATGGTTGGTGGTTGCGCTAGATGCATCAAGAATGGTGGAAGTTAGAATTATTCGGTTGGCCATTGAATAGAGTGGCTGAATGGTATACGAACCAGCTTACCTTGTAACCGGAAGGTCGTTTGTTCAAACCCTGGTGGTAGGTTCGTATTGACGATGATTCCCAAAGAGGAAGGATGAAACAGCTGGTTATGCAGTGCTCCCTGGTGGTTGTCAATGTTTATCTTAGTGATAAAAGTCCGTGATCAACTCGTCGAAACAAATCTTATCCATACAAAGTAACTGTTGAAAACATACATATTTATGAAAATAATCAATAAAAGGGTATTGGGGATACTTTTCTTTCTTTCTTTTACGTGTGACAAAAATACCTCACAATTCTGTGTTGACCACCAATACAGAAATCAAACCACATTCTATACATATATATTCATCCGGGTCATCTAACTCTAACCCTAAACCTAAACTATTAACTCTTATCTAACTCAAACCAACCTTAATATCTCTCTTATAGTATTAACCTGACCCTATCCTATTTTTTAGCGAAAAATACGATCAATAACTTTCAGAGCTCTAATGATAATGTCGACTTGATGTCCTGTGTTGACAAGATGAGCTAGTATTAAGCTACGTAGGGGGTTTATTCTGTCGTTTTATGTCTAATGAAGGTTGTTGGGATTCCATGATTCTGATAATGAACTTATCTAATCGTACACTCAATGTAACTAGCTTCACAAGAGCAGTTTAACTGATACATGGGAGAGGGGAAATTAGGTAGTTTTAATGGTGAGAGCTGGCTGCTAGCCGAAATTGTAGACAGCAGTGTACGTCAATGTTACATCCCGAATCGGTCTCATGAAAAAACAACAACAAAGCTTAACCGTAAGAAAATCACCAGCCAATCACAGCAGACCTAACCTGCGCAAATATGATTCGTTGATATGTGGCTTAACTTTCTGAGAATGGTCACTAGCAGTACAGAATAATCACGAAAAATGCCCATTTATTCATAAGTAAAAACACAGCTTTTTGTTCAGCGAAGAAATTTCTTTTCAACGACTTCATTTTCAAGCTGTACAGTCGTATTTATATTATAGAAAAAGGTTATTAGGTGGCACTAAATAATTGCTCAGTCAATATGCATATATATATATGTGATAAGAATAACGATATTTAAAATGTTATAAGGGGTAGAGTTGAAGTGGATGGATTACAAAATTACTAAAGATTGTTCTATAAGTGAGTTGATACTGAAAATATTTTTAAAAGAAAAATGTCAAGCGTTGTCTAAAAATTTTGAAAATTAGGAGTACGACAACGATAAGAATCAAGATGTGAAGTGGAATGAATTCAAGTGGTTAAAATAAAATAAAATGAAAACTACAAAGAACATTACTATGACCAAGGTAAAGAAAAGGGTTTGAAAAAACGTTTTTGAACACATAATTTAGGTTTCTGTTCATGTATAATAGCTAAAGCTTCGGCTATGCATAAGTGAAGAAAACGTATACTTTTGGATCGATTCGATTTTGCCATGTAGATAACCTTCAGCAAGGAAACAACCATTCAGGAGATGTTGCTTCTCAACTGACAATAGTGTGCATAAGAGTCTATGAATATCTGTTGATTTTCTCAATACAAGATCTGTTGCCTAGCCCTTCCGTCTTCTGTCGTTACAGTTTGTCTTTATTTTTGTGAACTAAGTCCTTCTGAGGTTACTTCATTCACTTATCTAGGGAGCATTGTCTCAACTACAGGCAGTCGGAACGGACGACAATGTCAAATCGAGAATCGTGAAGGCGAGATACACATTCATCAACCTGAAACCAATCTGGAAGTCTTCGTCACTCAGCCATCATCAACAACAAAATTCGGTCGGATTTTCAATACAAACAGCGTCAAGTCAGTCAGTTCTTCTATACGGAATGGATCAGAAACTTGGCGGGCGGGTGACAAAGAATATTTCCAACAACCTGTTGCAAACCTTTATTAACAACCGTCTTCGCTCTATGCTGAAGATCAGATGGCCGGGCCGGAAAGAATCACCAACAAGAAACTATGGGAACAAACAAAACAAGAACCCATCGCCCAACAACATCAAATACGCAGGAGAAAGTGGAGATGGATTAGACACTCGTGGCTAAAGAGGCATCGCGCGCGCGTCAGGCCATTGCTCGAGTGGAACCAGGCCGAAAGGGAAGCGGCGAGTGGGTCGTCAGTGCAAGGGTGACATGAAGGAGATAGTGTGAAGAGGAGTTGAAACAGTATGGACTAACATGGATGCAGGTGAAAAGTATAGTAGAAGACAGAAGCAAGTGAAGACGTGCAGTTGAAGCCCTATGTTCCACTAGGAACCCAAGGGAACAACAATAATAATAAGTCCGTCTGAAAACAATTCACAGACATTGTAATACAATCTGATTATTATTATTATCTATGATAAATTTCAGTCTTGGCGAAACTAATTTTTCAAAAACTTATAAACGCCCTAAACTTTGTGCTTGCTAAATTCGTGGATTTACTCAAAAATTTCATTGGGTATCTATTCACTTCTGCTTAGTGTTGTTATTATTCCCTTGGGTTCCGAGTAGAAGATAAGACTTCGTCAGTACATCTCCATTTTATGCTGTTCTCTGTATTCTTTCTTTAGCTGGTTCCACGACTGCATATAAGCAGCTTTCATTTTCTACTAACATGATGTCTTCCATACCACCCTCGAATTAGCTTCCAACTCGTCAGGCTTCCCATTCAGATCCTCCTCGAGGTTGGATCTAGCACACGATGTCACTTGGCGGTCTCCTTAGCGTATGTCCAATTCATCTCCATCTTCTCTGGCATATTTGTTGGCCAATAGGTTCTTGGTTGGTTCATTCTCAGAGTTCTTTGTTGCTAATTCTTCCTGGCTGTGGCCATAAGATCTTCAGCATGGGGCCAGGAAGGTATGTGTTGATGAAATTGTGTAGTAGCATGTAGAAAATGGTATTCCTGAGGCATCTAGTCCCTAAAACAAAAACATAGAGAGGTACTGGTTGAATTGACATTAATATTATTCCCTTGAATTCCGAGTGGAACATAAGGGGCTTCAACAACACATCTCCACTTTGTCCTATCTTCCGATGTCCTTTTCAGCTTGGGCCACAATTACCCACAACCTGTCATCTCCTCCATGTCACTCGTGCGTCAACGACCTACTCGTCTCTTCCCCCCTATGATTCCACTCGAGGTTGTACCTGGTGTGCTATGTCATTCGACAGTCTCCTCAATGTATGCTCAATCCATCTCTATTTTTACTATTGAGGAAACGGTTCTCGGTTGGTTGGCTTTTTCCCACAGTTTCTTGTTACTTATTCTTTCTAGGCATTTGATCTTTAGTATGGAGAGAAGGCGGCAGTTGTTGATGAAAGTCCGTGAAAACCTTTCTGAAATCGTTTTTTGTGACACATGTGCCGTGCAAGTTTCTGACCCATATAGAGGGACCGATTTGACATTGGCATTAAAAATGCCAAATCTTGTTCCTCACACGCTGTGGTGGAGTGTAGAAGACTTTCAAACTGATTTCAGATTGATGGAGAGGCGAATCTTGCCTTTCAGATTCAGGTTTTCTTTGACGTATTCATCCGTTCCGACTGCTTGTGTGGTTGAAACGATGCTTCCTAGTTGAGGGAAGGTAGTAAGTAACCTCTGTTAAATCTTTCTCGTTGATGAGGATTGGTGCGTGGTTATCTCCTTCATCACCTCCTTCTTCTCTGTGTTCACCTGCAGTCCTGTTTCAGCTGCCTCTTCAACCAGTTTGTTGGTTTTTTCTTGGAAGTCTTCCACTTTGTGTGTGTGACATCATCCACTCAGGCGAAATAAATATAGATCTTCTAGAGTCTTCTTGTCAGTTGTTCAGCGTATTCCTGTTTTCTCACTCCTTGTGCACAGTCTGATGTATAATCCAGTCCACCACACAATTAAGAACATCATCGTTGGTGATAAATAGGCAGCCAACCTTGTCTTACTTCTGTATCCACTCTGAACGCCTCGCACAGTTTTCCCTTTGTCTATCTCCTGACACGTGGTTTTTATCGTATAGAGCCAGCTGTTGAATGAGGTTGACAAATACCTGTTGAAGTAGTTTCCAAATTACTTCTCGATCTATGCTGTCGAAGGTCTTTTCGATGTTGATGGAGAAAGTTCAGGTAGAGTGAAGTTTGACTGACATTCTATGCTTTTTTTTCGATGGTAACGATGATGCATAGAGTTGCAATTTGATAAGTGCATGATTTGCCTTTCTTGAATTCAGCCAACTTGTTCCGGGCAGAGTTTTGTATCACGAATATTATCGACTTCTGCGTTAAGCATGCCGAATCGAATTTAGCTCATATTGTAGAGGGAGGAAGCTCATAAACTCTCTGTGTGTGTGTGTGTGTGTGGATATTCTCCAGTTGATGAAAGCTTACGGTGTATGCTTCCTCTCCTTTTGTCATTTAGAACTTCTTCTACAGACGAAGAATTTCAGTAATTCCAGTAAATCTCACAAATGTTTCATCTTTGTTCTTCTTCATTAACAGAAAATTATAACAGATTTTATTCAAATTGAAATGTTATGGCATGCTAAAGCATTAGAAACGTATAGCCTAGCGTATAATGCAATCCAGCTGTTACATGAAGAAGCTGACTTGATTGAATTCCGTGGTACACTACTACGTTCTGGGAGTGATTTAACACTGTTGAAAAATGCTAACCTATTAACAAGTCAACAAAGTATTGCTGCTAGCAATGGTGGGGGTGGTGGTGGTGGTGGTGATACAGCCTCATTGATGTCATCTTCTACTATGCAACAGAATCGGAATCATCGATCGCATAAATCATTGACATCGCGAAATAATTCAATGAATTCATTGAAATCAGGCAGTCGTGGTAGTCTTGGCTCGTTGAGAGGGAATAATAATAATCGAAAGAATCGACAGTCGAATCGTCAGCAGCAACAACAGCAGTTACACCAGTCTGGTTTGTCGCATCAGGTAGGTTCGTATGACTTTTCTTTATATTTTGTTTTCTTTAGAGTGTTAAGGTTAGTTTTCTGTGTAAGATTCTAGATTTTTTAAAGCTTTATCGATTTATGGATTTATTCCCCTTGATGCATTTGAATAAGTGAGTAAAGAATATCCCCCTTTTCGATAATTTCCTCCTCTTCTGGCTCTACAGTTATATCTATGCATGTTTATATACATAGAATATTCTAGAATAGTAGTCAATAACAATATTGATGTTTTTTTTAAATAATATCGATTTGTAAAGTAAGATCACAATGGAATTACAGTTCATTAAAGATGCGTAAATTATAATAATAATAAAAATATAATAGCAAATAGAATATCAACTAAAATTAAGCGAATTTCTATAAAAAATTCAGGACCATTCAAACCTAGATGGCCAAGGTAAGGACAATGTCTGGACTAACTTCTTTTGGACGCACAAATTAGGCTTCATAATATGGATCCCAACAGCCAGCCTCCGTAATATTTAGCAGTCGAACTCTTAAGGCAATACTGAGATTCGCAGGTGTGCGATAAATGACCCTGAAAATTGTCTGGTTAACATCAGTCTTGTGTTTTGTATCCACAAGATGAGATAGAATAGCACTGAGAATAGATTTGGTTTGTTCTTTACTTAACCAACAATGCAGGATGGTGTTCGGAAATCTGATGAAAAATACGCCTAAGTGTATAGCACATTGTAACTGGCTCACTTCACAGAAGCAGCTAAGTTGATAGATACCAATAGAAGAGTCGAAATTAAGCAGATCATCTTTAAATTCGGAATGCAAAATAGGGGTGGTTTTGAAGACACAGCGTAATTCGGCAGCAGGAAATGCTCTTTTTACCGCCTCATTTCTAAGGCACTGTGTTAGTATCTCGCTGATGTTGTCCTTAAGGAACTGCATTTGTAAGAATAAGACCTTTTTAGGAAATGTTGGCACCTTGGGCTGCCTTGATTTTAGATTCATATTCTTATCAATAAACGTTTCTGGAGAACCCAGTTTCACTCAGCAACCGTTTAATATTTTTTAGTTCCCTATCATGAAATGCGTCCGAGCAGACTGCTCTTACTCCGTGGTGGACCAAGCACTTTATCACAGTGTGTTTGTATTTCAAGGGACAAAGCTGAAAAAATGAGTATACTGACAGTCAGCTGATGTAGGCCTTCTGCATACACTTCTTCTTCTTACTGTGCCATCCTCTTTTCTGGTCATAAAGACGTCTAGAAATGAAGAAATACCGAGTCTTTTTCTTTCTTTCTCACTGGTAAAATTTATCGCAGGATGAACCTCGTTAAATTTATCTAGGATGTTCTTTGGTTCCTCTTCATTTTTCATAATCCAAATGACATCATCCATCCGCAGTTAGTGAACAGTGCTCAGAAAATTACGCTTATATAGTTTTTACACAGGCAGTTCAAGTTTAAACAAAATAAATGTGTGCATACTGACGTGAAGGAGTGATATGTATATATATATATATATGTATGGTGATCTCTCTTTCTGTTTGCTCGCTTAGTCTGTGGCCATTTCACTTTGATGAACCTGTCTCCTTTAACAATGTATATCGCCCTTATATTATATATAATATGAGTGTTTGTTGACAGTCCGTTGCTTGGTGACATATATCCATGTTATATGTGTGGTTGTTGACATGTCTGTTATATTTCGCTATGTATATATGGATCGATACTCCACTATTATTAGCCATTCATGTTAAGACTGTCTACTGATTTGTTCACACACTTGTCTGGACATTCATATATATTTCGCTCTCACAATCATGTGTGACTTACTTTGGTGTGATACCACTTATTGCATTCTCCTTGTGTTTGGAAAATAGAAGTATCATCACAAACCTAGTGGTCTTCTGATTTCCGCCTTCTTGCGTCAGGACTATTAAATTCTCGACCAGTACACATAACAATAATTTAGTGACGAGTACATAACAATTTGGTGACGGGGAAAACTACTATTAACCACTCAGCAGCAGCAACATAACAAGGAGTTACGTAATAAAGACGAAATATGCGTTAGATGCAGAGTGACTAGTAAATTAGGTAACAATGAACTGAGTTCAACTCAAATCATAGAAACAAGAGACAAGCAAAATTACACTATGTCAAAGGGGTGAGGTTAAAACCAAAGATTACGTAATCAAATGGAAGAGTTAATAAAGACATCCAGTTAGCAGGACAAGAACGATTAAGCAATCTTTGGATTTAACCTCATCCCTTTGACATGGTGTAATTTTGCTTGTCTCTCGTTTCGATGATTTGAGTTGAACTCAGTACATTGTTACCTAATTTGTTAATCACTCAGCATCTTACGCATCTCTCGTCTTTATCACGTAACTCCTCTAACATTCATTGTATGCATGGATTTATTTTGTTTAATCTTGAACTGCCTGTGTAAGAACTATGTAGGCGAAATTTTCTGAGCACTGTTCACTAATTGCAGAACCTTCTGTCAACTGACATTATGAAAAATTTGCAAGCTGTAAGCAGCAACAGTTGAGCTGATGAGAAGCCAACGAAATAAACACTGATGGTACCATCTTCACATTCTGCACAAACCACCACTGTTGTTCTTGCTTTATTCAAATTTATCGATTTCGCTGTGTAGAACTACTTTCATTCCAGTTGATGTATTCCTTAAACTGAAACATCAAAGTCTAAAAACTTGAATGAAATTATATACTACTGACTGATTGAAATGAGTAGTTGTTGTCTACCACTCATACCAGTTAGTAGTATTTGCTAGCCAGCCAACCATATCGAAGTGGTTCATTTCGCTCGTTTAGCAGCTAGCTCATCAGTGCAATGTACCCGGTTTGACTTAGCTTGGAGGGTGGAATGATTCCAAACCACAAGATTTCTGACTAGCTAGCCGAGCGAACTATTGATACCATAAATCGAATTCGTAATTTGTGAATTGTAAATTAGACTTAAAGCTTGCAGTCCTATTTGTTCGATTTGAGGTGCAAAGGAATAACATAAACAGAACTGTGTCATTCTTGAAAAAACCCACTGCAAACTGAATTCAGATTAGACTGAAAAAGAGGTGGATGAGGACGAATTGATTCGATTGGAACATGATTCGGGAATATGAAAATAGTGACTGACTGTTTTGATATGAATGTCACATATGCGTAGGAGGAGGCGAAGAAGATTGTCAGGCTGTGGTTCATTGAGATACTAACAATAAATAGTTGGAGACTATTGGCGATAAGGCCATAACACTTTTCACAGCAGCCTGGAAGTATTCACTCCGTTTCTTTTTTCCATTTTTGGAATTTTGAACAGTTTCACAAATGTCCATTTTCTCAGTCGCATCCATATTTTTGTTTAAATTGTAGTATTATAACGACAGAAGACAAGAGTCAGACAACAGATCGTTTATTGTGGGAATCAAGAGATATTTACAGATTTTTATGTACATTATTATTCGTTATTATTAGTAGCAGAGAAACACCGTCTTCTGATTGGTTGTTTACCTGCTGAAAGTTAATTTGTCATCTCTTTGTGACCATTTCTTTGAAGGTCAGACCATATATCTGCGAATCGTATCCGTCCATGCTAAGTTTGCTTTGATTGGTTGTTGAGTTAGTCTTTGTTTTTGTCTTTTTCTCTCATGACCAAGATTTGGGACATAAACATTGACGTAAATTGCTGTCTACCAATTTCGGCTAGCAGACAGCTCTCACCACAGTTTCACATGAGCTGTGTGTTCTCTTATAAAACTTTGTGTAGCGTTCTGTATTTTTGACTCGTCAGTCATTCTGTGAGTCATTAGAAAGCACAAACCACAGGCAGTCTACTCGAACTCATGCAGGAGCGTAAAAGCGTCTGGAATGTTTTTATGTGAATTAGTGACAACTAATGGTGTCCATCGGGAATGTCCACTGTCTCCATTTTTGTTTAATTTTGCCTTAGGTGTACTAATGGATTTGATGCTAACTGACTATAACGACTTAAGAACTGATGTGTCACCAGGGAAGACCAGTCTTGTTGACTTAGAATATGTGGATGATTTTGTCCTTCTAGGTGAAGACACAAATGGAAACACAGAGTCTTCTGAACACCTAAAAACAGAAATCTTAATATTTTTGGTGTGCTGCTTATCTGCTGTTAAATGTAAGAAGATGCTGCAGGACTGAACTATACGACTCTTTGTCAACCAAAAGACTCAACAACGAAAGAAGATAAAGCCAGCATCATCTACAAAATAAATTTAAACACCTGTGAAGAACACTACATTGGCCAGAGTGGAAATCATCCCCTTTGTCTTCGTATCCATGAAAATAAACTAGCCATCAAAAGACATGACATCCACTCCCTCATGTCGCCATACTACGCACAGACAACCACAGATATCAATTCGACTGAGACAACTAACATTCAAATATTAGATAGAGGAAACAACAAGAATGCTAGAGAATTTTTAGAAGCCTGTCTGGCATTCCAGTGAATCATCAATCAATAGACACATAGAGATAGACAAAATTTATCAACCGATAAGAAAGAAACCTCACACACACAAAGGGTCAAAGTTCAAGTCAAAGAAACAATCAGTTTCAATACACCTTGTAGGCTAGAAGGTGTGAAAACACACATAAACAACCAATCACGTCCTAGGTGACCAGGAGAGATGATTAATAAACTCGTGGAGAGATCTAAAATCTCACTTCAACAAACTCAAGTATGCGCTGAAGATGTTTCCTAGTGGCGGGGCAATGAAAGCTTCGCAAATAAACTATTCAGCCAGCTCACAGAACACAACCACATCAAAGTCATTCACCTGAGCTACAAATCTTCTCTATCATATCTATACGACTGATAACTTAAAGATAGAGAGTGAATTGGTAGACCATGGCGACCACTTCATTTATTTGGCAAGTTGCGTCAGCTGACGAAATCGCAACACGGATACAAAAGGCTTGTGTGACATTTACTAACTCACATCGCCTTTTTTTTGACGTAGACGTTATATCCGACTATCGATTAAAAGGATGGGTGTACTTCTCGAAAACTTTCCTCTATGTGGCGCATGACCATTGAAAGTAGAAGATATGAGGTAGCTAGATGTCTTTCTTTTCACAGATGTGTGTTTACCTTCTATCTTCCACATGAAACAGTATAATAGGGTGAATAATATTAAGGTAAGGCGTAGGGTGTTAGTAAAGGAGAGGGAAGCTAATCTATGAGGTTGTTAAGCTACATAAATTGACATGACTAGGGCACATGTTGCACACTTCAGGTCATTGCCTTCCAACATGATCAGTTTTAACTTTATATGGAATCAAGTTGGAAGAGATTTAGAGGTGGTCAATCCATGATGTCTTTAAAAGTTGGCTTGAGACACTTAAGAAGGTGTAGGCTTCCCGGTTAGCCTCCTAAAGATACTATAAAGAAGTGGCTAGAGGTAGTTGGTGATATGGCTCGAATCATACTCAATGGTTCAGCTGTATTCACTCTTTTTGATATCTCATATCTACTAAGCCATTATGTTTTTTCTCTATATGTCTGTTTACTCTTCCGTACATTACCGCTCATTATAGTTTCTTCGTATCTCCTGTTTCATCTCTTGTTTCTACCTTTGAACTTGAACTGTTGGTCTACTGTGCAGAGTTAGTTCTACGTTGAAATTCAGTCAGTCAGGTTATCACAGTAAATTATTCTCTTGCATTCCTTCCGAGTGGAATGTAGGGCTTCAACAACACTGCCTCCACTTTGTTCTGTTTTCTGCCGTCCTCTTCAGCTGGGTCCACGATTAGCCAAACTTTCTCATCTCTCTCTCTCACACGATCTCCTCTATGTCACTCTAGGACGACCCACTCGTCGCTTCCCATTCGGATTCTACTCGAGCAATGGCTTGGCGTGGAATGTCATTCAGTAGTGACCTCCTGAATGTATGCCCGATCCATTCGTCTCCATTTTCTCTCACATATTTGTTAAGTGATTGTATCTCACCTATTGGGGTTTGTTCCTACAGTTTCTTGTTACTGATTCTTACTGGCCATTTGATCTTAAGTTTGGAGCCGGCGAAGGCAGCTATTGGTGAAAGTCTACAACAGTCTGTTGAGGCCTTTTTGTGACATGCCAAGTTTCTCACCGGTATAGAAGGACCGACTTGACATTGGTGTTGTAAATTCCAAGCTTGTTCTTTGTGTGGTGGAGTGCAGAAGATTTCCAAACTGGTTTTAGGTAAAGGAATTTAGGAAATGCATTTCAGTTTATTTGAAACTATCTAATTTAGATATACATAAATGTAACCCACTGAGAAGGTGTCCTTAGAAAGATAAGAACACTTAAAGCCAGATCTACTGTATTCAGTCCACAAGAGAAAAGTGGGATATGAACTTATACATATATATCCTGTGCTCTGAGTGTAACATTGGACTTCAGGCTTGTACTTTGAACTTTTAATAAAAGTAGTCTGTTTTTTGACGGAGTGGGCTGGTATGCCTTACGCTTAACCTTCACTCTTTAATATTGTTTATTACTGATGACTATGCGAGGTTTAAACGTGTGTCAGTCGGGAATCGAACCCTGGACCACCTAAATGCTTGGCTTGCCTTCTATTATTCTATTATCGTCAGTGATTAATATTAATTATTACTATTAGTTAAAATCAGTTTTATTGATTCAATTTTTTTGTTGATTTTTTACTTGAATCAGAATGATGATGTAACCAGTTTATTCACTGAAGGTGATGATGATGTTGGCGTTGGTCATAGTATTCGAAGTACAACAGATAATACAAAACATGTGATGAATGGTCTTGAAGATCTTGAAGATGATGATGATGATTTCGATGAAGAAGACGATGAGGACGAAGGAGATGATGATGATGATGAGCAGGAGGAGGATGACGACGATGACGATGAGGATGAAGAGGATGATGATGACATTGATGGCAGTACAACACATTCACCAACACGAAGTAGAACAACAAATCCGCCAACAACAAATACCACTATAAACCGACCGCCTGGTTCAGCACAACATTCACCTTTGAAATCTGCTCTAAAATCTGGTATCTCAAAACCATGAATTTTGTTTATTATCACACAATGGATATTCTTCTTCTATCAACTGTCATCAATGATGAATGAATCGATACAACAGTAAATAGATTTCATTGGTTTTTTTGGAAATAAATAAAAAAAAGAGAATCTAATACCTCAGAAAACGTCTTTCTCAACCCTCACCATCCTCAGCATCATCACAGTCATCATCGTCATTTTCTTACAGTATTACAGAAAGGCACAAAGTAGAAAGACACCAGTATTCATTGTTATGCACACTTAAAATCATCTACACTTACCACACGAATATTTTATTCAAATGCTTGTGTATACTAACTATTGTTAGTAAGTAGTATAATTTTCTGCCAAAATGTTCTTAGCGCGATACTGAATAATTACTTTTTATATATATGTGTGTATACATATACCTACTTACTACTGTTTCCTTTCCAACATGCATATCATATTTTTCGCCTCTTTTTTGTTGATCAATTTATAGATTTCATTAGAATTTTTTTAAAGTTTATTTTGCGCGGAAACTGGTAAACAATAACAGCCTATTTATAACCTATTGTACAAAGTGAACTAAGTGTTTCTCCATTTCATCCTCTTTCTGCTTGTCTCCTGTGCTTTTTTCTGTCTATCAAAGGTGTGTGCATGTATGTGTGTGTCTGAGTGTGTGTGTGTGTAACTTGATGTGTATTGTAGAATTTATTAATTTTATTTAAAGGTGTGTCATTCTTCCCCACTAAAGAGGAACAAAATAACATTGACAAGAATAACCGACAAATACTCGTATCCCTTTTTGTGTTGTATTCAGAACTTTTTCTATTTTACTCAAAACAATAATAAAGCATTGAAGTGTTCTCTGTCTTTCTCTTATTTTCTTGAAAGAAAATGAGGATTATTATTATCTGTGATGATTGAAAGAAATTCTGAAACCAAATAAATCAAATCCCTGCAGATTAATACTTTGGATTGCATGGAGGATTTCATCATGAGCTGATATCAGTTAGAGAACCATTGGGAAACTAGCTGGGAGTACTGGACAACTGTTTCGCCCGCCTGCTGCACACACCCACCGGGATTGGGACCTAGGACCTTCTGGTTACAAGGCGAGCTAGCTCATAGACCATTGAACCACTAGGACCCGATCCAAACCCGGTGGGTGCGTACTACTGAAAAGCCTCACACTAAGTTGACGAAACAACTGTCCAGTACTCCATGACAGGTTTTCCAAGGGTTCTCTAGATAATGTCAGTTCATGATGAAATCCTCCATGTAATCAAAAAAAAAACGTTGTCTGTCTGATACTCACTAAAATGACCGGCGTTTTTCAAGTAGAGGTAGTCACCTGGAGTTCTAATGGAAAGTTTTGACCAGTAGAGTACAGCAAGTGGTCAGAGGTGTGAGGACAAATACTCGCCATGGATAACATTAGCTAATGCCAGTCGCGCTATATCGTGCATGAATTGACGGAAGTTAGAATTTATGGGCTGGTCATTGAATCAGGTCTCAGTGGCTTAGTGATCAACAAACTCGCCTTGTAAACGAGGATGGTTTCAGTGTTCGAATCTTGGCTGTAGACGGGGGGGGGCGTACTAATGAAGAGGCCCAAATTAGGGGAATGAAACAACTAGCTGTCCGTTACTCCGAGCTAGTTTTCCAGTAGTTCTCTAACGAAATATGCCGGAGAAGATGGGGGTGGATCGAACCTATAGACTGAAGAGATCGTTGAGTGATATCACGCGCCATGCACTAACCACAGTAGTTGAATCCGAATGGGAAGCGGCGACAAGTGGGTGTTTGGTGTGAGGGTGACATGGAGGAGATCGTGTGGCGAGTTGGAGAAGATGAGAGAATATGCGAAGTGATGGGATCCGCTTGGAATATAATTAATAAATACCAATAATAATCAATGTTTTTGATCAATAATCAGTTTGAATTTTATAAACATTGCATAACTTGAGTGCAGTCTATCAATAATTGAAATCATGTGAGTGAATAATGATGATCGCTCAACCACATTATAAATATTATCATATTAAATTTATCGATTGATAAATATTTTAAAAGCGCTTCCAAAAATAAAGAAAATATTACAATTGAATAACGACTCACTAAATTTCATTCAAAAATATATATTGAAAACCATAAAAACTAGTAGCAATGTAACAATAGACGGCGAGACACGCAAACAAAGGTATATTTTTCATTGATCAAACTGCTCTTACTATATACCTACAGTTTATATTCGTTAACTAGTCACTGAGCGTATGATTTCGGTTTAAATCAGACGACATGAAATAGAATGTTCAAATAGATATAGCGTATTCTGTTGCTGATATCGAATTGAACTGTGGGAACATATGAGAATAACATTCCGTTGACACATATTATCTGTATCACAACACCACACTCATCCCCACGTTTAAACTGTAGTTGGTTTGATCTACTTAGTGCTGGCGTCTTCATTTGCTTGTCTCGCTGTATCCATTTCTGGAACTTGCTGACGTTCATCCACTTCTCTTTTCTTGCATTTTTTAATGATATAAACGTGATGCCGTCTCGTGGTGACCATGTGTGGTTCTTCCCACTTTAGGAGCAGTTTGTGTGATCCTGACTCGTATTCGCCAGTGTGCCGCCTCACACCATCATGTGCTGCCGTCGACTGACCTTCCAGCAAGTAACAGCCTCATTACTGACGGATCTTGGACGTCATTCAGCTCCGCAACTGCCTCGAAGTTCTGCAAGAAGATTCATATATCTCCTTCAAAAAGTGTAGGGCATAAGTTTTGCATTTGTCCGTAGGCAGCGACACCAAATGTAACAGCAGAAAGCAAGACATGGAAGCCAAGGTATATTTTTCATTAGTCGAACCACTGTTTATATATCTACAGTTTATATTCGTTAACCAATCACTGAGCGTGTGGTTTCGGTTAATGCAGATTTTGGAGATAAGTGAATTCCTATAATAATTCTTTTGAGTGAGGATAAAAGTGATCGTAAGGTATTTTCGCGCATAGTATAGCAGAATTCACAACAGATATTTGAGTAGCGTGAAAAAGGATTGATAAAACATTTTTAAAACGGCTAAATGTATTATCTGATAGTGATTTCAGCAGTCCAACGAAGGGAATTCAGATCGTGACTGAACTCTACTTTTTTACATGTTCAAATCATTAGAAACGCAAGAAAGGTGAATTTTCAAGAGTTGGTTTGTTAGGATTAGATTTGTTTTTTCAAGTTTGACCACGGATTGAGCTCAGTTAGAGAACCATTGAAAACCTACCAGGAAGTACTGAAAAAGTAGCTATTTCGTCAGCCTAGTTTGGGAATCAACGACAATACGCACCCACTGCTTGGGGTTGAACCCAGGACCTTCTGGTTAAAAGGCAAGCTGGCTCGTATACCATTTAGCTACTGGGACCCAACTCAATGGCTAGTTCATAAAATTCTAACTTCTACCAATTCGTGATGCATTTGGCGCGACCACCGACCAATGTCATAGGTGGGAATTCCATCCTCACATTTGTGAGGTCCATCCAGTTAATACTGCCAGTCAGCTGTTTCATCCTAGTGCTTGGGACCCATCAACAGCACGCATCCACCAACGGGGTTCGAACCCAGGGCATTCCGGTTATAAAGCTAGCAAGCTCTAATACCATTCAGCAACTGGGACTCGATCCAGTGACTCAACTACTGAAAATTAATCTGATGCTCATTAGTGACATACTACTGGACGGAGTTTCCTGGAGTTCTAATGAGGAGTCGGGAATGGTGATAGATTTTCGGCTGATGACACTGGTAGGTGTTCATGCTAAGCGCATCACGAATTTGAAGAACTTAGAACTGATGGACTGGCCACTGAATCGGGTCAGGTCCCAGTGGCTAAATGGTATACGAGCTGGCTTGCCTTGTAACCGGAAGTTAGTGAGTTCAACCCCTGGCAGTGGGTGAGTGTTGTCGTTGACTCTCAAACAAGGCAGACGAAATAGCTGGTTGTCCAGTACTTCCTGGTAGGTTTTCAATGGTTCTCTAACTGGTATTAATCCGTGGGCAAACTCAAAAAGGTGAATTTGTTTTGGAGCGAAATTATATACTCACCCATTTTGTCAATGGATAATTGTATGGTGTATGAGAGAGTTCTGTATCAGCAGTTAGTTCTTTTTTGATTCTATTAAGCACTAGTTCATAACAAAACTAACCTTTTAAACACCGTACTCCAATAGATACTTAAAACTTTAAGTTACCTCATGTGGTGTTATCAGTAAATGCAGGCTGATTTAAATTTCTAACAAAATGTGTGAAAATTCTAAGTAGAATATCAGAAAAACCTACATAACGAAGTGAGATGCAGATGGTAAAAACATCGGTGCTCAATAACTGTCCCACACAAATTCATTAGGAAGTTTGGAAAAACAGTGCAATTATTAATCGCAATATAAATGAGAAGGCATTTAAGGCATCCACAGTTTTACCAAATAAAGAGAGTGACATCTGAAATCCAACGGATGTTTTTCAAGAAAGCAGGAACTCGGCTAGTATTTTAACCCTCAAACTCACTCAGGAATTAGCCTTTATTGGCTATAGGATCCTGATGACCCAATTAAACAAGATAATTTTTTCTTCAAAATACCTTGCAATAACTTTTACGTCAACTACATAAGTCAAATGAGTAAATCGGAGGCAGCAGGGTTATCATAGCGTAAGAATTTAGATGAACATATCATGATTGACCCCAAAGAGACGAATAGCTTAGTGAAAAACTCAGCAATTGCACTGTATTTGTTAGCAATACGGTGTAAGAAGTTGGTCAAAGAATCTTTATTAATCAAATCTACACCTAACATGTACAATAGGAATGACACAAGGCCGATATCAGAGATATGGAAAATATTCATATCAATAAAATCAAAGGAGATGAAATGATACTTCATGATGTAGTTGACTCGTACACTTTCGTGGCGAAGACGCTAACCCTGCAGTCAGTCAAATCTCGTCAAGCCTATGCTGTTTCATTCT